CATCAAGCAAGTCTATCAGCACCATTTTTCTAACAGGCTCAGATGATGATTAGCATTTTTTTTAGCAATAAAGTATTTTTAATTACAGTATGTAATTGCTTTTTTTAGGCATAATGCTATTGCACACTTAATAGACTACAGTATAGTGTAAACATAACTTTTATATGCACTGGGAAACCAAAAAAATTTTTGTGACTCGCTTTATTGCAATATTCACTTTATTGAAGTGGTCTGGAACCTAATCCAAAATATCTCCAAGGTATGCCTGTATTTGTTTGGTCTTCTGGTACAGTGTTGCATTATAGCCGATTCCGTTACCACCCCCTACATTAGCCTCTGACCCATTAGTCGAGAGAGTGTCTCGGAAAACTGAGGCCGGATGGAATGATATCTGTAAAGCTCGATATCTGTAAAGCTCTCTCGGGGAGTGTCTCAGGTGACTGGGACCTATTGGAATGATAATAGTTATCTCCCCTGGGAGGACACAGTAACAAAGTGTCTTGGGGCTATGTGGAGGAAGTGTGAAGGCACAGGATGTGCTGGAACACAAAAGGAATGCTAATGGAAAAGGTCTTAAGGCACACATAAGTCACGGGTTACAAATTGATTGACAGCAGTGAAGCAGTTTCACTTCTTTTCAAATTTCTCAATAAAAGCCATGCGCTGACCCGATTCGGGGCTCACTCAGTCTTCTCTGGCTGAGTCCCTTGGTCTCGCTCTTAATCTTACTTTTGTCTCTTGCTCTTATTCAATTTGCGTCGCCCCTTAAGAGAAACCTATTTGCCCTTGCCACGCTGGACGTGACAGTACAGAGCTCCTAAAATTTTCCTAAGTGACTGAGAACCATAAAGGTGTCTGTTGTTATGTTAATACATGACTTTTGAACCACATCTAAGGATGGGGGTTGGTTGCCAGGAGACCCAACCTTTTGATTAGAGGGTTGGAACTTTCAGTCCCAACCCCCTGACCTCCAGTGAAGGAGGAAGAGGGTCTGGAGGTTAAATCAATCACCAATGGTCAATGATTTAATCAATCATGATGTTAAGTGAAATAAAAGAGTCTGGAGGCTTTGCCTAGAAATAAATGATAAAGGTTTATTCAAAGGTCATAGGGTTGCAAACCAGACACACAACTAGGCACTACCCAGAGTGTTCTGAAGATGAAAGAAAAGCTAAGAGTTCTTATAATAAAAAGTACATTCTTGGGGCCAATCGAGTGGCTCAGTTGGTTAAGAGCAAGAGCTCTGAGCAACAAGGTTGCCGGTTCGATTCCCACATGGGCCAGTGAGCTGTGCCCCAGCTGAGCTGCCCTGAGCTGCCAACGGGCAGCCGGATAGCTCAGTGGTTAGAGTGTGTGCTCTTAGCATCAAGGTTTCCAGTTCGACTCTCACATGGGATGGTGGGCTACAGCCACCTGCAACTAAGATTGAACACGGCACCTTGAGCTGAGCAGCCGCAAGCAGCTGATGGCGACTGGACTTGGAGTTGAGCTAGCTGCACCCTCCACAACTAAGATTGAAGGAAAACAACTTGGCTGTTCTCCTTCCCCAATTCCCCAACACTGTTCCCCGTTTCCCCTCCCTCCCCCGCAAAAAAAGTACGTTCTTGAGAAGAATCAGTCTGGTATTCTTAGACTCTGGATTGGTTTAAAACGGTAATCCTCTAGATGACTGTTGGTCTAGATAATGGATGTGTCAGGTGGTCTTGATATGTAAACATTCTATCCTTAGTCCTCTGGGAGTAATCAGAGGGTTATTTGGAAGTTTGGTGTATAGCCAGGCATTTACGCAGGATTGGAAAGTTAAAAAATTTAAGTGCCCAGGCTAGTTAAAACAAGACTGGAATTGTTTCCTCATACCTCAACCTACTTTAGTAATTTAGCAGCTTGACTATAGTGACTTCATTTTATGTCTTCACTCTTTTCCTCGATGCTTATTTAATGAAGCCTCCATAAAAACTAAAAGTTCAGTGAGCGCCCAGGTTGGTTAACACTTTGAGATTTGGGGAGAGGAGAGTTGGGTACTCAAAGAGAGCATGGAAGCTCCACGCCCCTTTCTTCATGCCTTGCCCTATGCATCTCTTCCATCTGGCTGTTCCTGAGTTGTGTCCTTTTATAAGAAACAGGCTATCTAGTGAGTAAATGGGTTTCCTGAGTTATGTGAGCCACTCTAGCAAATTAATTGAACTCAGGAAGCAGATCATGGGAACCTCCAATCTTTAGCCGGTCAGTCAAAAGCACAGGTAAGAAGCTGGGCCTGGGTTGGCCTCTGAAGTTGGGGGACAGTCTTGTCAGAATAAGCCCCCAATCCATAATCTGATACCATCTCTGGGTAGACAGTGTCAGGGCATTGCTTGGTGTGCGGAAACCTCCCCCTCCACACATGTGGGAATTGGGTCCAGAACCTTTAATACTAAAGTCTTTTTTGAAGTAAATCGTGCAATCACAATAACACACATATACAATGCTGAATGGAGAAGGGCCATGAATTCAGTCAAGGTCTTGTTGACCAGGTATCTTTAGGCATCAACTTCTTTATAACAGAAAGAGGAGAGCCAGGATTCCTTCACACATTCTCCAAGTACAAAAACAGGAATCTGATTTTAAAAACGCCTTTATTTTTCCTGAAATCCTCAATACTGCAATTTTTGTCAGTCCCACCAGAGAGCGACCTTTCTGCATTTATGTTCCTACTTGGCAAAGCACTTGCGTTATCTCAGCACCCATGCCACACTCCCAAATTTGAGCAGAAACCAACCTTGAAGCTTCATGACCCAAATAAATTCCCCAGACTCTGCAAAATATATCTTACTTTTAAACCCTCTAGATAGATTTTTTTTTTTTAAGATTTTTATTGGGGAATTGGGGGGATGGGAACAGTGCTGGGGAATTGGGGGAAGGGGAACAGACAAGTTGCTGTCATTTTG